GATTAAAACACATTGTTCACATGATTGAGTCACGTAGAAAATACAATGATTTTTTTTTTTTTATATCCGAATAAAATATAAACAGGAGAACATACATCAGTGGTGTAATTATAAAACCAGTCCTTTGAGGGCGCTGTAACACCATAGATGAGGTGGTATGTAAACAAGGTCTTTGATGCAAATGTATGTAAAAAACTCAGCAGGAAATCCAGCTTCAAAGGCCTTTCTCTCACTTAGCAGAACCCATTCTGCTAGACTTTGTGTCTGCTAAACCTTTGAGTCCTTTTGTGATAAGCGGCCATGTTGAGTACATCAAAGAGTTCTCACCGTACTCAAACAACAGGAGGTCTCTGTCGCATCCTGTCGTTATCTTACCAGTCGTAGATAGTAAACAATGGTTTTGGAGGTAAATGAATCAAATCACTCTTGTCTCAGTAGGCATGAGACAGAATGATGCTTAGAGGCCACAGTCTTGAGGTAAACGAAGTTTGGATTTGACATTCCAATCCAAGTTATCGCTACAAGGTTGTCACTGAAGCAAAAACTCAGGTGTGGGAGGAGTTCGGAGAGGCCATGGAAAACAACTTCTGTACGAATTTGAGGCAATTCTGGTCAACCAGCCAACGTCTCAGGTGAGGAAAGTGGTTCGCCACCAACACTGTTTATGGTGGGTATGGTGTACTGTTGACCTCAACTCGAGATGTTGTGTCGGTGAGGAGAATACTTAGAAGACCTCCTCAATCCCACCAGCATGTTTTCCCATGAGGAAGCAGAGCCCAGGGACCCTGGATCGGACTCTCCAATATCTGGTGCCGAGGTCACTGAGGTGTTTAAAAAGCTCCTCGGTGGTAGGGCACTGGGGGTGGATGGCATTCGCCCGGAGTTCCTTAAGGCTCTGGATGTTGTGGGGTTGTGTTCATTGACGTGACTCTACAATATTGCATGGACATCGGGGGCAGTTCCTTTGGATTGGCAGACCGGGGTGGTGGTCCCCCTATTTAAAAAGGGGGACCTTAGAGTGTGTTCCAACTATAGGAGGATCAGACTTCTAAGCCTCCCTGGTTAGTTCTATTCAGGGGTCCTGGAGATGAGGGTCCGTCAGATGAATTTCAGATTCAGGAAGAGCAGTGTGGTTTTTGTCCTGGTCGTGGAACAATGGACCAGCTTTACACCCTCAGCAGGGTCCTGGAGGATGCATGGGAGTTCGCTCAACCAGTCTACATGTGTTTTGTGGACTTGAAGAAGGCATTCAGCCGTGTCCCTTGGGGAATCCTGTGGGAGTACTCCAGGAGTATGGTGTGTCATGCCCTTTGATACGGGCTGTCAGGTCCYTATATGACCGGTGTCAGAGTTTGGTTCACATTGCCGGCAGTGTTGCCAGATCTCGCGACAAAAACAAGCAACCAGCTCTATGAAAACAAGCCCAAAATAAGCCCAACTGGAACCCCCCCCCCCCACATTGTGTAAATAGAGGTAAATTGTAACAGTACTGTATTAATGTATACATTTATTATTGCATTATAAATAAGCAACAGCAAAATTATGATAAAAATGACCATAAAAATTAACTTTAATTGTTTGAATAATTTAAAATTTTTTAATTACATATACGTTTAATCTCTAATCATAAGAAAAGTGCATTTTTCAGCTGAATGAAAGTACAGTCAAGTCAAGAAAAACTCCCAAAAACTTTTCGTGTGCTCTTTTTTCCTCATTATTATATTTTTCCCCTCTTTCCTGACTTACTGCAACTCATTCTCACTTTGCTTTGTCACTTACTGTATATCCAGAGGTGAAGAAGTAGTTTTTGCTGATATTATGACAAAAAATGGTTCTGGCTCATATTGTTCTCTCCCATTCAATTCATGCAATTAATTCAGCAAATTCCAAACAAATTAAAACTTATCATTATTTTACTGTACTGTACTTGTATCCCAATGCAAGCAGTGTTTTTTATTTATTTTTTTATGTCTGTACACCACCTGTATATAATGTCCCAGTCCATTAAATCAATCGCACTAACTCCCACTGTGCAGAGTTCTGAACCGGTCCTGAAGCAGTTTTTTTTTCAAGCTGTGTTGTGTTATTGAACATAATAACATTCAACACAGCTAAATATTCTCTCTTTGCTTTTAATTGGGATATTTTGTAACAAGCAGACATTAAACATAGCAGTGCAGGTTTTGAAGGCTGACTGCATCATGCTCCGGAGCAAGGGGAGAGAAGAGCAGAGACTCCAGCACAGCTCAGGCAGTTCAGAAACTCTTTGGAATGAGGAAAAACTATAAGCAGATTAAGTCGTGTTTTAGACTGTCTAGTGTCTATTGCTAATGGATCTATTCTGACACAAAGTGCAGACATGACTCTGGTTCTGAATGACGACTTTTCAGCGAGCAGCTGCTCTCCCCTCCTCCCAGTACTGCTGGACCATAGCTATTGCCTGTTTCCCCCAGCTCTGGTGTGTGTGTTTGAAGTGTGCCAACGCAACTCGGGCAGGAGTGAAAACCAGGAAACGAGGGAGTGGGAGGGACAAACCCACTACACTTGTGTTTTGCTTAACTGTGGGGAGCAGAGTTAAGTATTTCATTCAGAAAGAAAGATAACTCCAAAATAAGCAACTCACATTTAAAAATAAGCCCAAAAAACGCAACCTGTGACTCATGGAATTTACAAGCGACTTTAGAAAATAAGAAGCCCAAAGTCGCTTACAATAAGCAGACCTGGTAACACTGATTGCTGGTAGTAAGTCAAACTTGTTTCTTGTGAGTTGGACTCCACCAAGTTTGCCCTTTGTTACATATCTGCTATTTCGCAGATGCTGTGGTCCTATCGGCTTCATCAGACGGTGATCTCCAGCTCTCATTGGAGAAGTGCACAGCCGAGTGTAAAGCGGCCGGGATGAGGATAAGTACCTCCAAACCCGAGACAATGGTCTTGAGCCAAAAAGGGTAGGGTGCCTTCTCTGGGTCGGGAAATAGGTCCTGCCCCAAGTGGAGGAGTTTAAGTATCTCAGGGTCTTGTTCATAAATGAGGGAAAAATGGAGCGGGAGATTGATAGGCAGATTGGTGCTGTGTCTGCAGTGATTCTGGCATTGTATCGATCTGTTGTGGTAAAGCGAGAACTGAGGCAGAAGGCGAAGCTCTTAGTTTACCGGTCTTTCTACATTATTTTGTTCAAGGGTCCTCCCCAGTGCCTCTTTTGTTTGCCTCCAGAAGGTCATGCAGTGTCTGAAGTGATGATTGACAGAGGGGACAGAAATCTCCTACTCCTGGGAGGGAAAAAGAGGTGGTAAGTAGCCCAATAATGCTTTGAAAGGAGTCAAACCGGTGGCAGATGATGTGTGTGTGTTATGGACTTACTCAATCCAGGCAATCTGTGATGCTCAAGTAGAGGAATTATTGTCAATGACACAGTGAAAAGCTGCTTATAGTTCTTGATTTGCTCTTTCAGATTGGTCATTTGTTTGTAGATGGTAACCAGAGGATAAACTTACAGAAGCTCCAAGCGCATAGCAGGATTTCCAGACATGACACACAAACTAAGGTCTTCTGTTGGAGACAATGTCATGGGGGATGCCATGCAGACAAAAAAACATATTGGACCAGTATCTGGGTGGTTTCGAAAGCTGAGGGGTGTTTGGTTAAAGGCACAAAATGGACGGCTTTGAAAAATCGGTCTATGATGGTGAGAATACAAGTTTTACCTTCAGAGATGGAGGTAGACCAGTGACA